TTGGGGTCAGAACCAAGAAATAACCTAAATTTTAGTCGTGTACTGCTACATATAAAAGTGGTAGTAGGGATAAAAGGGTCCCCTTTTCAATTAAAACAGGAAAACTCTCTTAATGAATGTGGGAATAATCTTAAGAGATCGGTGAAGTTCCAATTCCGTTATTTAATAACCGCATACAACCCTACTTGTATTGACAACGATGAGTCTATAATTCACAGTGATACTTGTAGCAATAGATCAATTACCTAGATTGTTTTGTAACAATGTTTGTTTCAAACATGGCTTTAGAGACGAGTCAATACTGTTCAATGTTCATACACAGTCAAGATACAACAGAGAACCTTGTACAGTTCAGTTTCAGATACACAACATGTTTTGACTGTTTAAGGTTTACACACGCTGGTGTAAGCACTTCCTTACTTGAAACTGGTTTATATGAAGAGTTAGATAACAATATGTGATTGAAATAATTTGAAGTTTCACTACAACAATCGTTATTGGGATCCGTTTAGTATTTAAGGTTAAATATCAATTTGGAAATTCATATAGATATTTTGTTTATTCATAATTTTGTTATGGCTAGGTTTACTAAAAACTTTAAATCGATGTTAACTCTAAAGGAAACATTGTTTGTTTCCAAGCTATTAAATTATGTATTTTAATTTGATTAGGTTTATTGCTTTACAGTTCCTTCTACACCACCTCAATTAGTTTTTACTATACTCCATTCACAGAATTTAGACGGTTTGAAAGAAAACGATTTTGTCCCCTCCACATCAACCTTACGCTTAAAAAACAGCCGATGATCAGCTGATTTATATAAATTAAGTTAAAGATAGATTGTTGGACAAATCCAGGATTCTTCTCCTTAAAACCACCTAAATAATGTGAAATGACTAAAAAACAGATCTGTCTTGTATTGGGAAATGTGATGACACATGTAATACTCCAAACACTATACAAATAATCCATTTTTTATCAGTCAGTTGTTTACTATTAGAATCATAAGTTATTTAGCGTTAGTACACAATTATGTGTGGATCCAAACAGTTTAGGTGTAACTTATACTTATTTAACCCAGTTTTAACATACTTCATTACGTTCTATACCTGTAAACCCGTTAACAATGTAACTGCAAGTTTACATTGTTACAATGGAGGACACAGTCTAGATTAGATTGGGTTTGACAAACATTCCTAATCAAACAGACCAAGAATCCCTTCCAAACATAAGAGATGCACTGAACCTGCAAACAATCGTTACTCGCTCTAAGTTTGTCGAAACGTTCGTTATTTAACTTGATTTGTATAAATGCATTTGTTAAGTCAATAAATACATTGACAAATATGTTTCATAAAACTATTTACTATAAAAAGAACCTCCCAAATATGACCATAAAATGTATCAAAGTCCTTTAAAATCTATGAGTTGTTAAATTAAAAAATTACAAATATGTGGGGACAAATTATTTTTCATTTTATTCTGATTTCGAATGAAAATGTTGCAAATTTTGGAAATGAGAGCAAAGCATATACTTTGGATGACTTACTTGGTGTATGTGAACATTTTAAACCTTTTATGAACAATTGCATTCGTCTAGTTTGATTACAGATTACTTTACTGTTATTTTAAATAACGCCAATCCAGCTTACTGTAGCATTCATACTATAGCAAATGTGAAGCATACTGGATCGCTCTCGTTTTCCAGTAAGGCTTTTGTTGCGACGTTTCGACGTTCTCGCAGTTTTAGGCAAAGGGTTATTCACAATTCGAACACAATCAACTTCTTCTTCGTCGAGTGAATCTTTTGGCTCAAGAGCAATAACCGGAATGTCACAATCCAAATCCAAGTGCATCCTTCTCAGTTGGCTACCTTGACGTCGACGGTTGAGGGCTGGAAGTTCTGAGTTTCTTTGATTAACTATAAATTAAATTTTGTATTTATACACTTTTAAGCTACTCAAGCGATGTTTACAACATTCTGCATTCTTTAGATAAAATTAGGGGATTCTAGGCACTTTTGAGGGGAATGCAGTTTTCATACCGAGATTCAGTTTGACATATTTAGGCATGTAAGTAAAATACATCGATATATATGCGAATTCTGGCTGTGTTAAGGGTTTTGAAGTTAGTTTAAATTTGGAAGATTTGTTTTACCTAATCCTACCTACTTTTAAAGGACTTAATGCAGTCACGAATTCTCCTGAAAAAACATCTACATGGTTTTTAACACATCAAAGAACATGCCCACGTAATAAAAGTATGGTTTTGTTAGGATATTTCAGGTTAGGTTGTGTTCCATTCAGTTAGCTGTTATTGGCAGTTTAACACTTAAAATGTAGGTTAAAATACCCACATAACCTACTAAAATGAATAGAGTTAATAAAATAATAAAATTTTTGTGCTAAAACATAACGTAGAGATACAACGAAACATAGCAAAGCCAAGAGAGAAGTGTAACTCAAACATTGGAACATCTGAGGAATGGAATCAAAGCAAACAATGATGAAACGTGTAGCAAGGCTTCGTTTGTAGCATGTAGCCTAAACACTCATGTTCACTATTGCTTTTAGACTTGTTTATATAATCTTATCATTATGGGTACATTTGGTTCTCGTTTGAATTACCACTTATATTTAAATACAACCATTGATTTTACGATTCTTGTATGATTGAGGTTCTGTGACAAAAATAGTTTTTTTACCTTTTAGCTTTGTTTAAAGTCAAAATTCAATCATAACAGCCTAATGTGTATGTCAAATGTACTTCTAAAGTTCAAATTCAATGTTAAAACAAAGGTTAAACATTTTTACGAGACATCTAACATTTTATTGAGCAAACCCTTACTTTCAGAGCACCAGCATTATTAAATCTAAAGCATTTAGAGAACTGATATAAATTTATTCATTGCATAAGAGAAAGAGAATATGTGTAAAAGCAAAACATCTATAAACCAAGTTAACACAGAACTTTATATGACTCCCGAGTACAATGTTAGCTGACAATACAAGTACAATATACACAGTAAGTCTGATAGTACAACTTCTACATGTACTAGTTTCATTCAGAAAAAATTTTTAGTAAAGTTTTAAGTTTTATTTTAAGCATATGAATATTAGAAGTTGGTTTAAAATCTTACTGGGATTATTTAATATTGTAAAACGAAACTGACAGTTTATACCAGTTCAGTAATGCAGCAGCTCAGTAGTTTTGTGTGAATCAGAAGTAAGAGAAATCAAAACTGGTTGTAAATTAGGCTGTAAGATCAGAAAAAAGTATAAGATGCAAAAACGAGAACGAAAATAAATAATAACGTATCTTAAGACCTTTATAGTCAACTCAATCAATTCTAGATAATCGAATTCTCCCTGTCAAAGTTAGAAAAATTCCTTCCAACATGAGTCGGCTTGCAAGAATTAGTTGAAACACTCTAAACTCTTTTCAGAATTGATTATTAACAATGGGTTGAATGGACAACTTCTCCCTGTACCTTTATATACATATAATAATCCCAATTCTTATAGTTCTACACACCTTATGTTCTTTCAAAAAACGGTTCTTCAAATTTCTGACTATAATAACATTTACATAGTGAATGACGCAGATTCATAAGTTTATATTTAAAAAAAGTTAAACATTTAAAGGTGTTTTGTCTTCTCTAAGACTGTTAATAATTCATTTATACCTACTTTTACTATCATATGTTTTTCTATTGTTTTTTGTTTTGTAAACATTCATGAATTAGATTTTGTGTTGAGTTAAGATGCGTGCATTTATTAATTATTTTGTAATTAATAAGAGTCATTTTAATTGGCGACGAGGATGGGATGTTGAACGAGCAAGGTTCCACAGTGTAACCAAACGTAGCAGTAGTTCTGAACACCACTGTCTGATCACTACCGTTGTACAGAGGCAAGTCAGAGGGTACAACCAGGGTGGCTGGAGCACCGAAGAAGTAGGGCCTGAGAGTCGCAACCAAGGTTACAGGATCAACAGGGTTCAGCTGGTAGTCAGTAGTGGCCAGAAGAAACTCTACTTTTCCCTCTGCAGAAATTATGGTATCTGGATGTACAAGATGGGCAAAGATGGGAGGGATCTCACACAGCACAAGTTGTCTGACTATCTGACCTGGATCCACCATCACTGTCACGGTCCTTAGGAATGGTTTCTTACTACTCTCGTTTCTTTCCAGATGCTTCAACTGTCACTTTTCCTTTGCGACGTTTGTTACGCAAAAATAAGAAATGGGAATGGACACCAGAATGTGAAAAGGCTTTTCAACGAATCAAAACTGAGCTCTGCAGTAACAGGATACTCTTACCTTTCGATCCAAAACTACCGTTAGTCCTCACCACAGACGCCTCACCTACTGGACTAGCTGCAGTTCTTAGCCACTTAATAGATGGAACTGAGAGACCAATTGCTTACGCCTCACGTTCACTCACTGATGCCGAATGAAACTATAGTAAACTAGACCGGGAAGCATTGGCCATTGTTTTTGGTGTCTCCCACTTCTATTATTACTTATTCTGGACTCAATTTCAACTTGTAACAGATAATCAGCCCATATCTAGGATCTTCAGACATGACAAGGCTTTACCACAAATGACATCAGCTCGTTTACTCAGATATGCATCATATCTGTCAGGTTTCAATTACAAGTTGGTGTTCAAAAAGGGCATGGAAAATAAAAACGTGGATTGTCTTTCGAGAGCTCCTCTTACACAGACTCACTCTACTAAAAAAGTTCAGACAAGAAAATCGGAAAAGGTACACCAAATCTGCAGCCAAGTAATTTTTCAAATTTCAAGCCATGAAATCACAGCTGAAATCATTAAGAACGAGACAGCTAAAGATTAGACCTACTTACCAATTCAACTGATTCTGATTTTACGTTGGTCGAAAACATTATTTTCCGGGGAGAAAGAGTTTACATTCCATCACTACTTAGAAACAAGATTCTAAATGAACTTCACGAAAGTCATCTTGGAATCACAAAAATGAAACAGCTAGCACGGCGCTATGTTTACTGGCCAAATATTGACAAGGACATTGAGCATCTTGTGAAAGGATGTGAAAATTGTGCAATAACACGGTCAAATCCACCCAAAGCTCCCAACCACCCGTGGGAAATCCCAAAAGAGAACTGGGAAAGAATACACATTGACTACGCAGGACCGTTTCAAGGCTTCAACTTCCTCGTGTGTATTGATGCTAGATCAAAATGGGCGGAGATAAAAGTAATCAAAGATGCACCATCCAGCTCCAATACCATACATCTACTTGAACAGATCTTTGCTACACACGGCTACCCGAATGTTATGGTATCTGACAACGCCTAAATTTTTCAAAGTGATACATTCCAAGCTTATTGCAAATTGCATGGCGTTTTCCAGAAATTCATATCTCCAGGACACCCAGCAACAAACGGCTTAGCAGAACGCTCTGTTCAAACATTGAAGAACCGCCTGAAGTCCACAGCTTCGGAAAACATACCAATGGCAATAAAGGTCCAGAAGATCTTAATGCGGTACCGAGCAACTCCTCTAGCATGTGGCAAATCACCCGCTGAACTTTACCTCCACAGGAAGTTAAGAATACGAATGGATGCCATTTTTCCTAACATACAAAAAGCCTCAACTAGAAATGCTCCTGCTGCACGTTCATTCAATGAGGGGAAGAGAGTTCAGGTTCGTCTCTTCATGAACAACAAGAACGTTTGGGAGAGGTAAATAAAAAGTTGGGAACTCGACACTATCTAGTTTCCCTTGATAAGTCAGGCCGACTTATAAAACGACACATTGATCAATTGTGGTCTACTTTGATACCAAAACCAAAGGTTGTTAGGGCTGGACCAATCCACATATTTGATGTTCCACGGGCTTCTAAACACAGCACCAAAGGAAACACTACGGCTGCTACTCCTTATAATCAATTAGATAATCCTGAAAGACCGTCAACTCCTGAAAGACCATCAACTGCCGTAAGAACATCAAATCCCGGAGGACCGTCAACTCCCGAAGGACCATCAATTCCCGAAAAACCGCCAACTTCCAAAGAAAACAATTCAGAGGTCCCAGAAGTTCAGGAAACAGAGACAAACAATGGCCATATTCCTGAGAATCAAGAGAGATCAAGGCGACAAAGGCAAATGCCGGGCCGATACAAGGACTTTGTGCTTTCATAATAATACACTGCAAGTTCAAAATAGTGGGGGAGACTGTTATGTCTTCTGTAAGACTGTTAATAATTCATTTATACCTACTTTTACTATCATATGTTTTTCTATTGTTTTTTGTTTTGTAAACATTCATGAATTAGATTTTGTGTTGAGTTAAGTTGCGTGCATTTATTAATTATTTTGTAATTAATAAGAGTCATTTTAAAAGGTTTATATCCAACGGTAGCAGTGAACTTTGTTGTTATTCATTAATTAAAAGTAACTATCGACAAAGGTATTGACAACAGTTAAACTGAGTTCTACACAGATTGAACGAGCGAGGTGACATTACCTGATATTTAATCTGTGAGTTCTACACAGATTGAACGAGCGAGGTGACATTACCTGATATTTAATCTGTGAGAGTTTTACACAGATTGAACGAGCGAGGTGACATTACCTGATATTTAATCTGTGAGTTTTACACAGATTGAACGAGCGAGGTGACATAACCTGATATTTAATCTGTGAGTTTTACACAGATTGAACGAGCGAGGTGACATTACCTGATATTTAATCTGTGAGTTTTACACAGATTGAACGAGCGAGGTGACATTACCTGATATTTAATCTGTGAGTTTTACACAGATTGAACGAGCGAGGTGACATTACCTGATATTTAATCTGTGAGTTTTACACAGATTGAACGAGCGAGGTGACATAACCTGATATTTAATCTGTGAGTTCTACACAGATTGAACGAGCGAGGTGACATTACCTGATATTTAATCTGTGAGTTTTACACAGATTGAACGAGCGAGGTGACATTACCTGATATTTAATCTGTGAGTTTTACACAGATTGAACGAGCGAGGTGACATTACCTGATATTTAATCTGCGAGTTCTACACAGATTGAACGAGCGAGGTGACATTACCTGATATTTAATCTGTGAGTTCTACACAGATTGAACGAGCGAGGTGACATAACCTGATATTTAATCTGTGAGTTCTACACAGATTGAACGAGCGAGGTGACATTACCTGATATTTAATCTGTGAGTTCTACACAGATTGAACGAGCGAGGTGACATTACCTGATATTTAATCTGTGAGTTTTACACAGATTGAACGAGCGAGGTGACATAACCTGATATTTAATCTGTGAGTTCTACACAGATTGAACGAGCGAGGTGACATTACCTGATATTTAATCTGTGAGTTTTACACAGATTGAACGAGCGAGGTGACATAACCTGATATTTAATCTGTGAGTTTTACCATCTGTGAAATGGAAACAGTTATTGTAACCTGCGTTGCTCGACGCTGAAAACTGCTGCATACTTCCAACAATGGTATTTCCAGCTTAGCTTCCCAAAATTCTACAAAATTGCACGCAATACAATTGTGCAGATTTTATACATGGCGACTTTTTTTTTGTTTTAGAAAAAAATACATATTCACGTTTGAGGGAACTGTTGGAATCCCATGGGGTTTGTGCTGTTAGCAAAAGTTAAAATTCTTGCAATTTTGTGAATTCTTGTTCGTATATTTGACAAATATTCAGTCTCTGTTTTATACTGTATATTTTTGTATGTTACGCTTTTCATAAGTCGTTATTGTGCTAAGCTGACACTGTTAATTAATAAATTCCGGTTGTCTTAGTCTTGTTCATTATGTTTAATGTTAGATTTTATACATAGAGATGTAATTAAAAAGATAATATTGCAGTTTAACAATTTTGCTATAACGATACATCGGACAAGGATGTAAATAGTTACTTTACAAAAATATATATATATACTCATTTTGGAAAGAAAAGCTTAGAAAAATACATTGGGTGTTGAAAACCAGTCAATAAAAATTATTAACAGTGGGCAGTACTAACGTTTACAAAACCACAAAGAAAGATCACAAACCCCTAAGTATTGCAAGATTAGCTCACACCTAATCATGCTCTTCTTTTGCTTATGAATGTTAGTTTAAATGTTTAATGTCATGCACAGTAATTATTTTGCAATAGATATTTTTATTAAGTCTGATACGGTGATTAAATTTAGTTTTAGTTTGGGTGCTACCAACTTAATGAATATTATCAGTTTACAAGATTTTGGTTTTTCCGGTACCCCATTGGTGTTTTATACCATAAATACTAAAATGACGATTTCAGTATCAATGTTATCTAGTCGCTATAGTTAGTAATACATATGGTAACATAACAGCCCATAGCAATAAAACCCCAATATATATAAATATTACAAAGGAAATAAGTCCACAAAGGTAAGTACAAACTATTATAAATGCAAGTGTTTCCCTTGGGCTAAGGTGATTTAAAGTTTAAAGGGCTAATGTGGGGTCTTTATCCCACGTTTTGATTAAGAAAATAAATAGTCCTCTTAAATAGTACTTAAATGAGGCTTTCATAATAGGACAGTTGCCGTGTAATTTCCAGATAAAGGTATTCCCTCCTCTTCGTCTATATTGTCTCTCGTTTATAGAAATCTATAATTTTTATTTTGTTACAGCAAATATTCACCTAACATTTACTTAGCCATAAATAATTTATTCAAAAAGAACGACAACTGAAATGAAATACATATAAACGTCGAGAAAAAAGTTGTTCTTCGAATACTTTGAAGTCGTTCGAATTTTATCATGAATTAAAAATGGCGCGTTAGATCTTGTCAGAAATCATTCAAATAATGTCCATTTCAATAAACAGTGGTTGATACATAAACTTTAAGCAAGATTATGCAGTTTATTAGCTCAATATAGTTTTATGTACAGTTTTCAAAAAGGCTGAAATAATTGGATATTCAGGAAAGCTTCCTTTCAATTGTGGAGGCAAATCGGTTATAGGAAATTGTCCTCAATGGCAGTCAAGAGGTTTAAGAACCCTTACACACTTCTGGTCTCTTTCACTGAATAGCGGGAACTTTACAAGTGATCAATACAATTGTTCGTTTTTGTTAAATCATGCTTTGAAAACCTAGAAAGGAAAGTCTCAAAAATGGCTCGTTGGTAGGCATATACTAATCTAGTCTTATTTTTATCAGGATGCTTAAATTTCTTAGATTTATAAATTATTTTAAATAAAACATTTAAAACACTGTTTCGTTTTAATATTATAGATTGCAGATAATAACTACAAAGCAAAAAGATGTATAATTATAACTTGAGACAGTTTCGGCACTTCGTGTATTTCATCTTCAAAAGATGTCTCATTACATAAACTTATAATAGATTAGTTTTTAAAAACTATTTTTCTATACTACATACTGCACCATATATAGGCTACCATAATACACGTTATTTTTTAGAAACTTTGACAAATTTAAAACTAGTGTAAATTTAATTTACTCAGCACAAAATAAATAGCTATAATATCAGAGACACTTAATTTTAAACTAAGTTGACTTTAGACGACTTTATTATGTAATAATGTGATGGCATAGTAAGTAGAATAACTTAAAGTATTTCCCCATTTCAATGAATTTTTGATGGGACAAGCACGAAAAGATTATTATCTTTATTAATTACAGAACATAAAAGAAATTCTTGCTACGTAAAATGTTGGAATGAGCATTTTAGAAAAAAAGAATGAAATTTGTTATCAACGAACATCAATAACATAAAACAGGGGCCCAATTTAACATGAATGAATGAATAAAAAGCAGTTTCTTTTTTTAATAGTGTTTGACTCATCAAGTGTTTTAGAAATGTGCAATCAAATATGTTTTCATGAAGCAAAAACAATATAAAGTGAAAACATGTATATATAAAAATTAGTACTATTTAAGAGTAAAACTGCATCGTGATAAATCTGATAAAATTCGTATATAACGTTTAATAAACATATTATTAAAATCAATCGTTAAAGTTAATTTACCCTTGTTCAAACTTAATATGAGAGATAATACCTGCAAGGCAAAAATTTTTCACGTATACTGTTAACCAGCATAGGCTATGTATATTAAAATACAACTACAAACAAACAAACAAATAGAAAGGAAAACCAAATATTACATGTAGTATTTAATATTCCGTTTCGATGAAAACAAAGAGTGCAAACCAATGAATTCTAGGAAAGTAGATTATTTAGTGATGTTTTATTTATAGTATAAATAGAATATCCTAAGCGAAATGGTCTATAAACGTTTATAATAAACACATACAGGGTGTC